GAGGGAACTGCTCTCTAAACAAAAATGGTTTTGAAAAATAAGCCAGCCAAAGGGGAACTGCTTCATGAGTTACACATTCACTTCTCCCTTTAACTGTGCAGTTGAAGAAAAAACAAGGTGAAGCAGGAACTGACCCCACATTCACATCCCCTTGAACTCTCTGGACACAGCAGCACTGGGAGTACTGGCTAACCAGGCCTGAGGTTGGTCTCTAAGTATGTGTGGATCGTTCGTGTCTTGTAAGCCCCCCACCCACAGGGCTGGTACCCTCCCTGCCTGCCTTGTTCTTAACATAGCCCCTGTGAGGGGGGATCTCAAGAAATACCTATTAGACACAGTAAAGAAAGAGAAAAGTCCTGCTGGAAGGGGACCGTCTGCGTGGCCAGGGGCGTCTCTGGGGCACTTGCCCCAATTCCAGAAGCATCGGTATTTGCAGAGTGGCCAGCACTGTTTCTAAACGTGGGCAGAGGAGGTGGGGGGAGTGGGGCTCAGAAAGAGGCACGCTTGGATGGCTTAGAACGGGCTGCTGTGAACTCGTTTTCAAGAACACGGTTCCCCGCACCCCAGAGGGTCCTCCATTACTTGTAGGACCTCGTCAAATCCCCGAAAGAACCAATCTCTGCGTGTGCAAGACAGTGCTCTCAGGAGGCAGGATGGATGGAATCCTGAAGTCAAGAAATCAATCCACAGCAAGGCGTGGAAGTGCTAAAGGGTTGGCAATTTCTGCTCTAGAGAGCAGAAGAGAAAGTTCTAGTCCAATCTCCTCGTGTTTGGCGGCAGCCTCCTTAATTAGCAGACTCTTTAACCCCACTTAGGCCAGTCAAACCCGGCGGCTGACAGCAGCAGAGGCTTTTACAGGGGTTATCAGGGTGGGTACCTTAGAGGCTGCGTCTTTGAAAGGGCACCCCAAGAGTCCCCATCCCTACATCAAGAGAACATTTAGGGAATATTTTCGTTAATCTGCAAGCCACAGCACCTACAGACGACTAAACACTTCGGTGGTGGAAGGTACTGACTGGGGGGTTGGACCAGCTACTTGGAAATTGCGTGGGTGGGCAAGTTTAACTTTTCTGGGCCTCAGTTCCCTCCACTGGAAAGTGGAGACGACATCATTCAGGTCCTACGATTGTTTAACTGAAAACATCTGGAAAAACGATCGGTTCTTTGGGAGGGCTGGAAAGAGTCCCAAGGGTACCATTCACTCCAGGGCAATACCAAGGTACTGCCAGGCACTCCAGCGGCGTCCTCTGTTCTGGAAGCCAGCAGTGGGATGAATCGGTTTCAAAGTCCCTTTGGAGCAGGGAACTGTCTCCTCGAAGCCCCTGAAAGAGGACCCCCGCCCCCGGAAGGCACTCCTGCCCCACATACACGCGCGACGGTGTAGGACATCTCTGAGGGTGGCGCGCAACGGGGCTTTCTGCGGGAGCCCAGGTGCAGAAGCACCCCCCCCCCGACAGTCTGTTGGGGTTCGAGACCCTCCTTCCGGGGGACCTGATCCAAGTGAAAGCCGCTCGGTCATTCGAGAGCTCCAGAGCGCTCCATCCGCAAACGGGGCAGGTGCAAGAGTGCCTCGGGACGACCTGATACTGGACCGCCAGCCTGGGCCGCCCCAGGCGCCCCCACCCCAGCCCGGGAAATCGCATCCCCGCCCTCGCCCCCTCCGGGAGAGCACAGTTCGGGGTCTCACATCAGTCCTTACTCTCCGGACCTCATCTCCCCACCAGGGCAGAGCATCACCGGCTACGTGCCCCCCCATCCCCACCCCGCATCCTGGTCGCCACGAAAGTTCTCCCTGTTCCCCTCTCCTAGATTTCAAGGGAAGTGCAGAGAAGGAAGCCTAAATAAAAACAGGAAACCCGATTTTAAAAAAGAAGAAGCCTCATTCTGGCTGAATTACGGGTAAGAGTATTAAAAAGAAGCGGGGGGGGGGGGGGGGGAAGAGTCCGGAAATGCAAAGCTGGAGGCGGTTTTGCCGCCGTAACCCGGGCTCAGCCGCAGATCCGGGGGCTGGTCTCCGCCGGCGACTGCAGTAAACACGAGGCAAGCGGCGCCCTAGGCCCGGGGCCCCCAGGCCCGACGGGCGGGGCCGGAGCGGAGGGGGGGGGGCGCCCGGCGGACTCGACTCCGGTTGCTCCCCCTTCCCCGGGGACCTTGCTCGTCCGCGCCGGGGAGGGCGCGCAGGGCCAGGGCGCCGCGGAGCGTGCGCGCCCCTCTCCCCGCGCCCGGGCCGGGGCACCGGGCCGCACCGCCGGTGGGAGCGCGACC